CGCGGCCGCCGACCCGCTGGCTGCGGGACAGCGCGCGCGGCCCGGCCGCCCCCGATTATCTGTTAATGCATGAGTAACGGGCCACTGGTCGGCACTGAATGAGACCCAGCCGAGCGGCAGAATATCAATATGTTCGTGACGTGCGCCGGGGAGGGTGCCCGCCGGCCGGGTGAGTGGTGCTCCGGCCGGACAGCGGCCCCTCCGCTGCCGCTGGGGCCAGCGCTGGGCCACGCGGCTCTCAGAGCCGGCCGCTGCGACCATCTGCTGGTGATCAGTGACCGCAGCAGGCCGCTGCAGCGCCGCTCACATCGCCGGCCGGTTCCGAATCCGCTGTCGCGTGCTGCACCGCTCGGGCGTCACTGGGCGCATGTAAGATGCTGCGCCGCCGTGCTCGGGCCCGCGGGTCTGTCACGATCTCACAGTGTTCATGGTATACTGTACCGCCGTGCACGGATCCATCCGCTTATCATGTACCCATTCCGTGAGTAGCGCATGCCGCAGTTTTCCACAGACTCATGGCCGCCCCATAACTCTGCAAAAATTGAGATTTTTACGCGTTTCACGACACCCTGAAACAGCAGTCACGTTGCGAAGCCAGACGTGTGATCGAAAAAAGCAAACCTAGACGTTAAACTTTGGCATTATATGTTTGGGCAAAGTCGTACGCTGATTGCGCTCTACTCCAAAAATTCATCGTGGGACGCCTGGCCCTGTTCAGCCATTACGCTTTTAGAGGCTCACGCTCCCCTGGCAACCACTGATCGCGGCTTAATGCACTTTCTAGCGACAAAAAACGCAGTTTGTACGGACTATGCTGTACAACGTTGAGCGTATCTGTCGACAAGCTGCTTGATGTGGTGCGATTTCCCGTGGCGTTGCAATTATTTCTAAATGAGCACACTATAGCCTACCATGTTATAAACATGGAAATAAAATACCTGCTTATTGCAAAAAAGGTTCACAACACGAGTCAAAACCACCGTGCCCGGTTTGGGGCATGGTTTGCAGGCATCTACGGCAATTAGCAAAACCTTAAAACATATTGCCATTTAAGCGCTTTGAGCCGGTTGAATGCTTTGAGGCTCATTTCAGATGACGGAGTGTAAAGCTGTTTACAGATTCACTGGGATATCTTGCAGCTCAAAGTTGGAGTTTTGAAAGATACAACTGAGACTCCAAACATGGAAAGTGATAATTGCTTTAAGAAATGATAAAATGGCAGATGGTGGGGGCGGGCGATTTCATTTGTACCTTGCCAGACTATATCAGATTGCACTATGCAAATCAAATCCGTGAAAGACTCAGCCTTCCTCGACCGCACTACAACGCACTCTGCGTCTTGAGCTTCTGCTCATGTTTCCTACGTACGTGCCTCGCATCTCGAACACAATTTCACGGAATATGCTTGACATAGCGTGGTCCCAAGGCATTCCAATAATACTTAGTGCATGATGAAGATCGCGGGACACTTGGCTAAGGATTTGTTCGAATTTTAAGGGCATAATGAGTTAGAATTCTAACGCCATGATGACCGCCTGTACATAAAGCGCAACGCATGCAGGGCTGTGATGATAGCCTGCAGGATCAGCACACAGTCTGTAGAGGGTGGCACATAGTTTCAGTGAGCCCCAGTCTGCAGAGTGTGTGACAGCCGCCCGTGGACACAGCACACCGGACGCAGATGACGTCACGTTGACTGTACGGTCAGTACATTAGATGGTACCGACTGATGTGTCGTGTAAGTCTGCCGTATGACCACCGCTGTGTATGCGTCGTGACGTCGTCGCCGTATATGCGTCGTACCAGTTCAGACAGTTCAGTATCAGTTCAGACGGCGCACTGACACGCCGCATTAGCACACCGTCTGGAGACGGTGAGGCGGCCGGCTGTGCCGCGCCGCTGCTCTCCATCTGCAGAGCGGATGGCGGCGGGGGGGGGGGGGGCGACTGCGCCGCTCTGCCCTGTCGTCTCTGCTCCGTGACGATTAGGGCAATCCAGGCCGAGATCGCGCCAGGAAGCGTGGCTGATGAGACTGACTCGGGGGCAGCGCCGCCGCCCTGCAGGAAATTAAGGCGCAGCGCAACCGGTCGTTAAAGAAGCGACGCATGCTTTCGCTTCTTGGGCGCATGGAGCGTGCCGTCTGCTGGGGTGTGCTCGGTCGCACTTGGATGTCACTGATTGCATTCGGGCTTGCGTGATCACGCTCGGAAGAACCTGAGCGTGCTTGAGCGTTCTTGGCGGATTATTGGGGTTTTCAGGCCCGTTGACTGCTGGGGTTCACTTGTGTACTGGTGATCGTTCTTGGGCTGTCGTGATGCATGAAAAGACCACGGTCAACTACGATAGCATTAATATGTCTGTAAGGACAAACAGGCAACGATACTAAATATCGATTCATGTGATTGCTACGGAATGTTCCGGGCGTTCGCAATGTAAAAGACTGCACAACTAAAATGCTGGTACCCAAGTGCCTGAACCCCCAGTCGTGGGATTAAGATATTGTAGCAGATTGGAAGCCGGTAGTGATTGGATCGTGCGGTGGTGGCCTTCGGTGCGTATTTCCAGCGAAGCCATTGCCAGATTCGCCCATGCCCGCCATTGCTCAAAAAGGCTGGAATTTGAAACACGACGCATGCACACGCGATCGTCCACCGTCCTTCGCCTTGTAACGTTAATTATCTTATCTATTTGGCGCACAGCCTGCCTTGCTGACGAGGCTTGTACTTCATAACAGCAAAAAGACACATAGCAAATGCATCATGTCCGCACAAACCTATTTTGGATTTCTATGTCTTGCAGTTTCGTGATCACATAGTGGTCAAGTGTTGACAAGTGCACTTAGGAGCCTCCATATCATGGAGTTTGGGGCATGCGCGTGCTTACAGTGTCAGGACACCACTGATAAGGGCGTCACATGATAATCACACCGGCGCATGGTGGCGTCAGCAATAAAATGAGCTTTCAGGCATGGCAAAGGACTGAACTGGGGGAATGTATGTCACCAGCGTCCACCGGAGGCCCACTGATGAGAGGAAGTATCTCAATGCCAAAAGCCGAGGCCGGGCCGTTACAAGAGTAGCGTCGTTGGAGCATATGCCTTCCGTGCCCTGAGACACTTCTCAACGTGATCCAAGTGCGTCAGGGGTCTTATCGTATCGGTGATCTCAGTCGACAACAAGCATGACGAGAATTTCGTTGACTAGGTCGAGCATACTGGCGGCCAACATCTACGCCCCAGTATACGAAACGGTCACGAGTCTACTCTCAGCTTGCGCTACGGAGGTAGCTGGACCGAGGACCTCTGTGGGGTCAGCTGCCGGACACAGGATCCAGGTCAACAGGGGACGCGAGCAGCGCCACTGCTAAAGCGATGGTGAATGAGGCGACAGCGAGTACTGGTAGAGGCGGTCACTTGCCCTGTCCACACCTCGGGTGGGGACATAGGGCAGGGATGTCACCAGGGTAGGGATCCGAGGGAGCAGGATCTCAGACCACGAGCCCGCCCCAGCGTTCGGACCGCTCCGCTCGCAGCGCCGTCTTTCCCCCTGGTGGCACCGACGCCGACGCTTCGACGGGCCACGGACCGGACAGGCCTGCTCTGGACCGGCAAATGTTCAACGTCTGCCGCTCGAGGGCTCGTCTGCCAAGAGGTACTATCTATGACCCTACAGCATAACGCGCCACAGGGCAGGCTGGCCGGGACCGCTCCCCTTGCGTGTACGTTTCCTGTCCGGATCGGTGTCTGGCTGTCCGTCGCCTCAACATCGTTGGCTTCCGTGCCGTGGTCCTCGTTGACATCGGTCGGCGAGCGAGCGTGCTCATCGTATCGTCACCCAGTGACCGGGCTCGCTGGGTTCGCCGCCAGGCCGTGACCTGTGACCTGCGCCATCGCCTCGCCATTGGTCAGTGGTGACACACTGACCATTGGCTACACGTCCTGGTGGCCTGCCTCGCATACTGTCAGATCGCGTGTGGCGTATGTTGATCAACAGGTCCGCGACGGGGCGCCACCCGCCAGCCGTCACTTCCCGCTGTGTTCGACGGCCGTACCTCTGCTCTGCTGTCCCAGGCGGCGGTGCCCGCGCCCCTGCAGTACCGGGCGGTGGAGCCCACGTCCCTACAGTACCGGGCGGTGGAGCCCACGTCCCTACAGTACCGGGCGGTGGAGCCCACGTCCCTACAGTACCGGGCGGTGAAGCCCGCGCCCCTGCTGTCCCAGGCGGTGGAGCCCGCGCCCCTGCTGTCCCAGGCGGCGGTGCCCGCGCCCCTGCTGTCCCAGGCGGTGGAGCCCGCGCCCCTGCTGTCCCAGGCGGCGGTGCCCGCGCCCCTGCTGTCCCAGGCGGCGGTGCCCGCGCCCCTGCTGTCCCAGGCGGCGGTGCCCGCGCCCCTGCTGTCCCAGGCGGTGGAGCCCGCGCCCCTGCTGTCCCAGGCGGTGGAGCCCGCGCCCCTGCAGTACCGGGCGGTGGAGCCCGCGCCCCGGCAGTACCGGGCGGCGGTGCCCGCGCCCCGGCAGTACCGAGCGGCGGTGCCCGCGCCCCTGCAGTACCGAGCGGCGGTGCCCAGGCCCCTGCAGCACCGGGCGGCGGCGCCGGTGCCTCCCGCGCGCGTCCGTGCGCCCGGGGCGGCGACGGCGTGCCGCTTGCGGCGACCGATGGCGCGGCGCGCCGATCGCGGCCAGCCGCTGTTTGTGCCCAGCTGTCTGCAGGCCGGCTAATGGGAGCGCTCATTAGGGCGGCGCCGGCGGCGCTAATGCCGCTAATCGGAGCCGCACCGAGCGCACCTCGAGCACGAGCACGGCCGCTCGTCAACTGGGCGGCACGCGCCGCTCCGGCCGGCCCGCACAAATTGTCGCCGAGAGGCGGCAGCGAGCGTCGTCAGGCCCGCGCGCCCACGCGGCCGCCGGGCGAGACAAGCTGCCGATACGACAGAGACACCCCCGGGCCGCCGCACACGTCAACACAAAGCTGGAAGCTCGCCGGTGGCTAGCGAAACAAACCAGCGGAGATCCTGCGCTGTTATTAAGAGAGCCAGGGTATCAGGGTATCTTAGTTCACACAGTTCAGAGTACACCAGTAAAACGTCTCGACCAGGGGTGCATGGCTTTCGTGATGTTGTACGACATGCCACCGATCCCAAGAAGACAAAATAGGCCTTCTTCGGATACCATAAAACATAGCCGGTGCTAACGCCGCGTGAAATGCGTTAGTAAAAGATCTCGTCTACAGGTCAAAATAAGATGAATACATCCCGTTCACTAGCTAGAGCGATGCAAAATTAGGAATACGGCTTACAGACAGCGCTCTCCGAGGTTCATGAGCTCACCACGCTCCCTCCCGGCCGTCTCGTCTCCTGGCGGAGGTACCCGAGTGCCCTCCGAAACCTGAAGGCCATCCCGGAGAGCTCCTGCGACCCTCCAGACGCCCACTAAGAGCCCCGGGAGGCTGACGACGGCCAATGAAAGCCCCAAGCAGCGGTCGCGGACGCCCCCTGAGCGAGCGACCTCGTCGAAGGCGCCGGCGCCCGGCCGCTCCACACGGCGGACCGGAGGTGCTTCGGGGCGGCCAGCTCATGCAGATCTGCACAGGGGAAGCCGACCGAGCCGCCGCGCTCTCGCTGGGTGGGCGGACGCCGGTCTCGCCGCCTCGCACGCTTCACAAGCAGTTGTTGAGGAAGGGTGGACAGACGCCGGTCTCGCCGCCTCGCACGCTTCACAGGTAGTTGTTGAGGAAGTTCAGCAGCGTCAGCTCGTAGTGTTCGCTAGACTCCAGCGCCCGTAAACTGTGCCGTTCGTTCGGGTACACCTGCAAAATCGCGAAACACACGCTATGTCACAGCATTTACACGACGGCTTAGACGCCGCCACTGCGGGAGCTGGCGGGTGTAATCAAAGCGGGATAACGTGGACCGCGAGGCGGACCACCGTCCCATCGCGCAGTGGGAGGACCTGGCGGAAATGCGCCGGCTAAAGATCCGCAGATCCGGTCAGCTGACCATTCCTTCAACAGGCATGTGGCGCCTAATGTTGACTTCCAATCTGCCCCCCCCCCCCTAAAAAACCATACATCACTTCAAACGAACTCAACTTCAGATTCAAAGATGGCCATTGTAAGCCTTCTTCAGAATTACGAAGGCCGTCTACCAATGCTAGTTTCATCCGCTCGGCCTGTTCAGTCCTAACATCACGTTCGCGGACACCTGGTCCGACCTCTTTCCGCGGCGCCGGGGAGCCCCGCCATCATTGACATTTCAGCCAGGATCATCGGACCATCCCCGACCAGTGCCGACAACGCCGGCCGAGGATCAGCGCTGGGAGCTGGCAGCGGCTGAGCGCTGACAACGGCTGAGCGCTAACAATGGCTGAGCGCTAACAATGGCTGAGCGCTGGCAGCGGCTGAGCGCCGACAGCGGCTGAGCGCTGGAAGCGGCTGAGCGCTAGCAATGGCTGAGCGCTGGCAGCGGCTGAGCGCCGACAGCGGCTGAGCGCTGGCAGCGGCTGAGCGCTAACAATGGCTGAGCGCTGGCAGCGGCTGAGTGCCGACAGCGGCTGAGCGCTGGCAGCGGCTGAGCGCTAACAATGGCTGAGCGCTGGCAGCGGCTGAGCGCCGACAGCGGCTGAGCGCTGGCAGCGGCTGAGCGCTAACAATGGCTGAGCGCTATCAATGGCTGAGCGCTGGCAGCGGCTGAGCGCCGACAGCGGCTGAGCGCCGACAGCGGCTGAGCGCTGACAGCGGCTCAGCGCCGACAGTGGCTGAGCGCTGACAGCGGCTGAGCGCTAACAGCGGCTGAGCGCTGACAGCGTCTGGGCGCGCACCTGGAGCTGGTACGGTTTGCCGGCCCGGATCAGTGCCGATATCAGCTGCTGCGTGTGGAAGAAGTGCACGTTCTCGTCCATGAGGCCGTGGAAGATGAGCAGCCGGTTGGGCTCGCTGGGGAACTGGTTGGCATAGCTCAGCACCTGCAGCAGAGCAGCGTCAATACATGGCTAGCGACGTTTTGACGTTGACAAGGGGACGTTCGCACGTCCTCCTGCCTTGGCCTAGATGTTGTCGTAAACTTCCATAGACAGGTCATATGCAGATTCTGTTTCGCACTAGAAGACAGGTCAATTACGCCATTGAGGATTTTCATTATTTTCTCTTTTTACGCACGTCGGTGTTGAGCATCTTTTTCTTAAACCCTAAGGTACATCGCTTCCCACAACACTACGATTTTATAATTCATGGAAAACACCAGATGATATTAAGATGGCATTTAATCAAAAGGCTCATGACGCTGTCTGTGAAAAAATGGCATGCAGTGCAAAAACCATCTGCCGTACGAGTGATAACATCCACAAAAAGCCATATCAAAACCTACGCAGCACATAATCCAACACACTTCAACAACAAACAGAGTGGGCCGCCGACCAAGCGTGAGGCTCCAGCGCGGGGCGTCGGCGCCCGCGACGGCGGCCCGCACGAGAGGGTCCCCCTGCGCCCGGCCGGCTGGCGGCGGCGGCGGCCGGGCCGGCCCCACTCACCGAGCCGGCCTCGTAACCGCACGGGTTACGGCAGGGCAGGTCCATGTAGCGCTCCGTGTAGCCCGTGTCGTAGAGGCCCCAGGAGACGACGGGCGCGCCCGGCACCGCCAGCTGAGGCAGCGGCGCCGCTCAGGTCACCAGCTGGGTCACTCAGGTCACCAGCTGGGTCGCTCAGGTCACCAGCTGGGTCACTCAGGTCACCAGCTGGGTCACTCAGGTCACCAGCTGGGTCACTCAGGTCACCAGCTGGGTCACTTTGGTCACCAGCTGGGTCACTCAGGTCACCAGCTGGGTCACTCAGGTCACCAGCTGGGTCAGTCACGGGCGACATCACAGCGCATCGTCGCACGCGAGGCATACACACCGAGGCGCGATAGTCCAGCACGGGGCACCACAGAATGCATAAACGGCAGCTGGCGAGACGCCTCGCGCAACGTGGGGTGGACGAGGCGGTGACGGTCAATACCACTACCCTGCAGATGATGTACAAACAGGGATATGAAACGAGACGCCTTTGGAAACCCAAACAGACATCCCTGCGAATGCATCAGTGTCCGCCTTTCACGAAAGCCGGACAAGCAACGCTGTTCACCCATAAAGGCCTCGCACAATAAATCGCTGATGAAATCGCTTGACAATTTGTTGGCTATGGACTTAACATTTCGAGCGCGTACATTTTCGGTGACTGTGACCAAATCGTTACGAAAGATATAGATACAAATATTTGGTGCGGGCATCGGCCGCACTACACTGGATCACACAGCCGTGCAGTGCTTCGTGGTACAACCTCTCCTCCCGGCTTAGGTCCCAGCAACGTGTCGCATCCCAGACCAGCTCTCAACGCGGTAAAACTGGCCGCCTTCTGGTCAACTGCTGGCTCTGCTATGGAACGGACGGTGATGAGACCGTTTGGTGATTTGAAACCGCACATTCGCCACCACCATACAGTAGGTTCAGCGTCTCTAATGCCCTCCCTCTGACGATACCTGACGTCAATCCTCAAGAGCGCCCAGAACGGGTCGAAGCATTGTTGTGCCGAGACACGCTTGCCCCGCCGCACAAGCCGGTCCGCGCGTTCTTTAATGCGATCACCCCTGCTCCACTCCGACAAAGCGCACTGGGGCCGACCATCCGTGGCACCAAGCCACCTACACTTCATCCAGGTATCAGTCTCCATTACTCGAAATGGTCCAATTTTAACGCGGAAATTAACGTTTAACAGAAATCCCGGAAAGGCGAACAATCTAACGTCTTTAATGCCGTTGAGCCCTTAGATGTCAAGCGCATGGGAGATGATGTATTTTCCTCAAATTGCAATGTGGGTGGGAAATGAAGTACGCGCAAACAGCTGACGTGCAGTTGCCAGGATTAAGCAGCTTAAACAATTGTGAGGTTGAGCTTCTGGCTGTTGAGAAGGGCTTGAAGCTACCGCCAACGCTTGCAAGGACGTTAGCTTTTAGGAAGCGTGTCGGCCACCTAACAGTTCTCCATTTTCTCACTGTTCAAGTCACATTCACCCGGAAAGCGGCGTAGTTCGTAACTGGCGCACCGGGCAAAAGAAAAAAAAACAAACGGCGGCAGTAATAGTGTCGCATACAGCTAACACTATCTTCCACACGCATAACAGCCATCATGATCGTCCTCACAGGCCAGGTGCGTCGGGAGGGGCCGTGGCGCCGCCTGCTGACCGAGCCGGGGCCAGCCTGGTCGGGAGGGGGCCGGCCTGGTCGGGAGGGGGCCGGCCTGGTCGGGAGGGGGCCGGCCTGGTCGGGAGGGGGCCGGCCTGGTCGGGAGGCGGCCGGCCTGGTCGGGAGGGGGCCCGGCCTGGTCGGAAAGGGGCCCGACCTGGTCGGGAGGGAGCCCGGCCTGATCGGGAGAAGGTCAGCCTGGTCGGCAGGGGGGGCAGCCTGATCGGGGGGGGGGGGGGGGGTCGGCCTGGTCGGAAGGCGGTCGGCCTGGTCGGGAGGCGGTCGGCCTGGTCGGGAGGCGGTCGGCCTGGTCGGGAGGCGGTCGGCCTGGTCGAGAGGCGGTCGGCCTGGTCGGCAGGGGGGGGGGGGGGGGCAGGCCTAGTCGGGAGAGGGGCCGGCCTGGTCGGGAGGGGGCCCGCCTGGTCGGGAGGGGGCCCGCCTGGTCGGAAGGGGGCCCGTCCGTTCGGGAGGGGGTCGGCCTGGTCGGGAGGGGGACAGCCTGGTCAGGAGGAGGCCGGCCTGGTCGGGAGGCGGTCGGCCTGGTCGGCGGGGGGGCAGGCCTGGTCGAGAGAGGGGCCGGCCTGATCGGGAGGGAGCCGGCCTGGTCGGGAGACGGCCGGCCTGGTCGGGAGGCGGTCGGCATGGTCAGCAGAGAGGCAGGTCTGGTCGGGAGAGGGGCCGGCCTGGTCGGGAGGGGGCCGGCCTGGTCGGGAGGCGGTCGGCCTGGTCGGGAGAAGGTCAGCCTGGTCGGGAGGGGGGTAGGCCTGGTCGGGACGGAGCCAGCCTGGTCGGGAGGCGGCCGGCCTGGTCGAGAGGCGGCCGGCCTGGTCGGGAGGGGGTTGGCCTGGTCGGGAGGGGGCCGGCCTGGTCGGGAGGCGGCCGGCCAGCGCCAGCGGCAGCGACATACCTTGAACACATCAGGTCGCTGCGCCAGCGCCATGAGGCTGAGGTAGCCGCCGTACGACCAGCCCTGCACGGCCACGCGGCTCAGATCGATGATGCCCAGCAGGTCCGACAGCTGGTGCAGCGCGTCCACCTGGTCCTGGATCTCCACCGTGCCCTGCCGACCAGGCGCGGCGCCCTGGAGTCAGCAACGTCGCCCGCGGCCGCCCGTGCCGCCGCGCTGCCGCCACACATCGCTGCATGCTTTTGGCACGAGCGTGGCCACAATGCACCAGGCGAACACCGCAATGCTGTTATGCAGGGCAGCACTTCGCACCGGCAGTTTCTTGTTTCTGGTTACACGCGTCACAAACTGTCACATGTGTTCTTGTCTGAACAAAACCACAATGCTGCTGATGCAAATGACCGCTAGCCCGGTTGAACGCGGCCTCCTGGGCTTACGAGGCAGCACAAAACGCCGCGACATGTCGACACCAACAGTCCGGCTGCGAGCGGTGCAGCTGGCGGGCGGCGCGTCGTGCCGAGGCCAGTCGGCCCCCACTCACCATCCTGTTCTTGATGTGGCCCTCAAACTTGGTGCCCCTGTTGTGCGAGCCGCGCGAGTCGATGCACACCACGCAGTAGCCCTCGGCCGCCAAGATGTGGTTGCGCAGGTTCCTGTACCCCTGCCGGCGAGCCCCACCGTAACAACCACCGACAACTGCTCGCTACGGCGAGGTGTCAACGCCCGCCTGCTGACCGCCTTTACTCCCGCAGTCGCGCCTGCCTGCCTCCGCTTCTTGCCGTCGGAACTATGCGCTCCTGTGAGCAGTGGGACTCCGCACACCATTACTTCACAGCGTCCAGTTCAATGGACGCAGCCATCTTTGGGCATGTGTTCACTGGACAGGCCTCAAAATCCTTGTCAGAAATGGGCGTAAGGAATGGGCGTAAGTGGCCGGAGTAAAGGCAATATCCAATGCAACATATGGGACCCTCCTCACACAATTATGTCCGGCGATGCTCCCTAGGATGGGCTGTATGAAGTATGAACGTACCTGATTTACATTCGCACACACGCAGTACGCACACAAACACATACAGCGCAACGGACAATGCCCGTAATCAAAACCCAACAGGATCCCTTCCGTCCGATAACGGGACATTCCAGGCCAGCGCGATTTCAGCCTCCCCCTCCCCACTCGTCCCATCCCGGCTAAAATACCTCTAAATATGCCTCATCGCCGGGTGAGGCCACGAGTATGAGAAGCGCCAGAGACAAGGAGATTCGAGACGGGTGATCGCCAAGGGCACGTGATCGCCGCAGGGCAAGGGGATTCACACGCATCTACTGTTCTGAACCGTTATCGGACAGCAACAGTGACAGGCGGACACACCGACAGACCTGGCCGTCAGGACATCGGACCACCGCACTGCGATGCCGTCCACTGGCACCACGCTAACCGGGTGGACTCAGGGCTGCACTGACCACCCTCCGCAAACCCCGGGCGCTGGCGGGCGCCGGTCGCCCTCCCGCTCCCCCCTCCTCCCCCCCCCCCCCCCCCCCCACCAACCTTGAACGTGTTGGCGACCACCTGGACCTGGGGCCCGCCGTAGACGTTGACGACGGTGGGGTAGCGTCGGCCGGGCACGTAGCCGGCCGGCGGGTACACCATGCAGTAGAGGGACTCGCCGCCGCCGGCCGAGCGGCACTTGTGCAGCTGCGGCAGCCAGCGCGGCGGCTCGAACGAGCACGGCTCCATGATGAGGCCGGCCGGCACCAGCTGCACGTCGCCGCCGGCGCCGCCGGCGTGCACGTGCCACACCTGACAGCTGGGCGGCGTCGCCAAGTTGCTGAGCACGGTCACCAGCGCCGTGCAGTCCTGCCGGGCCCCGGCGCGGCGCGTCAGACGGGGCCGCCCACAGCCCGGCCGGCTAAAGCAGCAGCGGCCGGCCACGGCACGGCCGGTTCCAGCAGCGGCCGGCCATCGCACGGCCGGTTCCAGCCGCGGCCGCCCACCGCCCGGCCGGTTCCAGCAGCGGCCGCACACCGCACGGCCGGTTCCAGCAGCGGCCGCCCACCGCGCGCTCGGCTTCAGCAGCGGCCGGCGCAGGGTCACGGACAGGCCCACTCGCAAGCTCAAGAAAGAGTACACTTTTTTGGAAGGGAACGAGACGCACGTCGTCACCTGCCTTTTGCTAAGTCCCAGCGACTGCATCAGCCATATTAGCGCTCGTTGGTAATTGAGCCATATATGCAATTTGGGAAACATAATCCGCACTTCCAAAATTATGCGTACCGGAGTTTGAAAAACTCCTAAAGATACAATTTAAGTGAGTGTGAATTATCTCACCAAGTTGCTCAGTTCCTACTTCACTAAGCATTATATAATTATGCCAAGTTAGATCCAGACATAAGGTTGTTCAATTCTTATTTCAATGAAGATCTCAGCATGCTGTCAGAAAAGTTATTCCGACCATAACGCTTTAAAAAAGCTTACCACGAGTATAAGTCACAAAGAGCGACACGAGCATTCCAGCTATTCGAGGTCATCCGTATCAACACTTTATGCACGGCGCTGCTCTAAACCTTAGAACAGTACCCATACAGACCAATAACAGTAATTCATTGGCAGTTACGGACAGCCCTAAGGTCTGCCCGCCACACGCGTTAATTAGTTCCTGGTATGGAAGGTCGGCTATCTCCAGCATAAAACAGCTCTAACACCAGAAAGACAGGAGCTCACGGCCTTTCCCGCCCATGTCCGGCATGGTCCGAATCAGCCAGCGCATGACAGCGGTCTCAGCGCGTCAGCTACCGGCCAGGGGATGCCGTCTGGTGACCTCACCTCGTTCAGAAGGGCGTTGTGGTAGAACCCCGGTTGGGTCAGCTGCTGCACGCGCCCGGGCTGAACAAACGAGGTCACGTACAGGTGGCGCTCCACCGGCGTGTCGCGGCTGCCCTGGGGTCACAGCACGACAGGTGGTGTCATGTCGGGTCAAGGTCGCGTACAGGTGGCGCTCCACCGGCGTGTCGCGGCTGCCCTGGGGTCACAGCACGACAGGTGGTGTCATGTCGGGTCAAGGTCACGTACCGGTACAGGTGACGGTCCCCGCGACAGAGTAAATCCGTCTCCAGGCAACCACGGGACCACCAGAACGAGCCGTATGTCTTGGACGCTTTATGCTAGCCTGTCTTGACCGATAGGCCTCGCCGACGGCTCCGGTCGCACAGGTGGGCTCTCATGCCGCTCGGCTCTATGAGACGGGCAAGGTCACTGATAATGGTATGAGGGTTCCCCGGGTCCCCCCCCCCCTCCCCCCAGGAAGACCAAGGGGACAGCTGGCCCATGGATACCGAAAGCCAGACAACACCCACCACCGCGAAGGCTGGGGATGCCCATTACGCTCAATGGGCGGACAAAATGGCCATGAGGTAAGGCCAGTGGCATGGAGCCTACAGCAAGCCAAGGGGCTAACATCGCGAGGCCGTTCACACGGCTCCACTGTTTGCGACGGTTGTGGCCGTCAGAGGGTCTCTTCTTGTGACGGCCTTTACCCTCTGCGCACTTTCACGGAACGAGGGTTTAATTTAGATTCAGTCAACTAATACTCCCATGAAAACTTCTAAAACGTATCACGTGCAACGTGATACGTTTTGGATTTGACGGATAAAATGGATTTGTCGCACGACTACCTGTTGTCTGCAATCAATTTTGCGCCATTTTCCTTCAACTGACTTTTGTCATCCAACAAAATCGTTCCGATCTGATTTGTTCAGGTTCGCCGGCACACGTGGAACATTTTCTTGATGACTTGATGTGCGACTTGTATAATGTGTGTGTGTGTGCGCGAGTGTTTGGTTAGGTTTTTTGTTTGTGTGTATCGTATATTTATTGTTCTTAAAACTGGACTCCTTCCGTAGTTGGGCTTTTGCCTGTGGAATGCTTACGTCTTAAATAAACAAATAAACAAATAAACGTCGTCATCGTATGAAACACACTGCCATGTTATGTTTCAAGTGTTGACAATGGCAACGTTTTAGGACGATTGAAGACGCACTGAGGAGCACCCGGGTGTCAGCTTGGAGTACATGGAGGCGAACCAAGAATACATGAATGTCAGCTAGGCGTACATGTGTGTCAGATGACAAAGCATGGGTGCCAGCTAGGTACACATGTACATCAGCTCCACGTACACAGATGTCAGCTAAGAAAACACGGACGACGTCAGCACGGCAGCGCCCATAGGTAGAACTCAGTGACAGCGAATGTCAGCGGCGGAAACGGACGGCACTGATATCACACTACGGCCTCCACAGGCGCCACTGTTCCCCAAACAGAGTGGTGTGCGTGACCCACGTTGTGCCCGAGCGCACGGGTCACGAGGTCCACGTCTCACCGATCCGCGGCCCGTGTCCAGCGCGAGCCCGACGTCCGCACCCCCCCCCCCCCCTCCCGCCGGGCCCAGTGGCGGCGTCACCTGGAAGAAGACGACGCCGTGCTTCTCGGACACCCAGACGTGTTTGTTGTCGACATTCCACTGTCCGGAGGTGAGCGGCACCTTGCTGGTCATGGGCGGTTGCCCGGTGGCGCGGGGTCCCGGCTGGCGGCTGATCTGCACACGCAGGTCACAGGTCATAGGCCAAAGGTCACGACACGTGTGAGGGACACGTCGGCATTTTAGATCATAAGATCATTATCAGATCATCGAATCATGACTATATCAGATCATCAGACTCCCTGCACACAACCCCCACGACTATCACGCCACGTTTGGAGATATCGGGGGGGGGGGGGAGGCAGCCACGTCCCGAGCACGGTCTGTAGAGGTCAGGGGTGACAGCGGCCCGACTGAGACTCCACTGGCGGCAGCTGCCCCGCCCCACACCCACCGCTGGACCTGTCCCCGCTCAGCCCACCGACCGCTTTCCACACGGAAGTAACGCCGCTACCTGGTGCCCGCTAGGCTGCGCCCATTTTAGGAATCAGTGGAATGCCCGGAATTTGCATGGGGTATGGGAATAATGACAGGATAGAACAAAAAAATCGCTTGTAATAACAAGTAGGTTTAACTACCATGTCACATTTAACACCAATGATTACATGTCTCCATAGTCACCCAAACCATACGACAAAAGCGGCCACCAGTGTCTTTTATTATACGCAAACTGGGCATTCTACTGACAGCGCTTGAGAAGCAGCCCTGTCCGTCAGTGTGCTCGTGCTGCATGTACCTGGGCGGTGACCAGGTACAGGTGCGTGTACCCGGACGAGTCGTCCATCCAGAGGAAGCAGATCTGGTCCGGGTCACTGGTGGGGATCACGTGGAAGGTGTCGTGCACCTGCGAACCGGCCGACTCAAGTGAGCGGCAGCGAAGCGGGACTGCCGGGTAACGCTCCAGAATAGTGACGATTTGTTTCACAGTGGTGACATTCCGGTTCAAAATTACGTACGTTTTTCAGTGCAGCTGTGAGGTATATTACACATGAAAAAGACAGTGATGATGGCCTTCGTGTCCCCGACCGATGGTAGAGGGTGGGCGCGGCGCCATAGCCACATCCCGCGTCGACGCTAGCACTGCGCCCCGCGCGCGCATGAGTCCCCGCATCGACACAGGGGTACATTAGACAGCGGTCCGGAGCGCGCAACAGTCCCCGCATCGACACAGGGGTACATTGGACACACGCGTCCACCGCGAGCGGTCCGGAGCGGCGTATCAGTCCCCGCATCGACACAGGGGTACATTAGACAGCGGTCCGGAGCGCGTATCAGTCCCCGCATCAACACAGGGATACATTAGACACACGTGTCCGCCACGAGCGGTCGGGACGACTCACGTTAATCCAGACGTCGGTCTGGGAGGAGAGCAGCAGCTGGACGGCGGCGGAGGGCGGCGGCCCCGGCACCGGCTCGTCTGACACAAATAGCGCCACCGGCACCAGCACCAGGTCCAGCCGGCACTGAGACCGGTCCAGCAGCTGGCAGTGCACGCTGAGGACGGCCGACGGTCAGCACAGGTCACAGGTCATACCCCCTCAGGCGGGGCCACAAGTCAGGGACACGCGTCACCAGAAGTCACACACCGGGAGCAGGCGCTAGCAGCTGGCAGTGCACGCTGAGGACGGCCGACGGTCAGCACAGGCCACATGCCACACCCCCTCGGGCAGGGGCACAGGTCAAGGACACGCGTCACCAGAGGTCACACACTCCGGGCCGGCGCCAGCAGCTGGCAGTGCACACTGAGGACGGCCGACGGTCAGCACAGGTCACAGGCCACACCCCTCAGGCGGGGCCACAGGTCAAGGACACGGGTCATCAGAGGTCACACAACCCGGGCCGGCGCCAGCAGCTGGCAGTGCACACTGAGGACGGCCGACGGTCAGCACAGGTCACAGGCCACACCCCTCAGGCGGGGCCACAGGTCAAGGACACGGGTCATCAGAGGTCACACAACCTTGGCCGGCGCCAGCAGCTGGCAGTGCACACTGAGGACGGCCGACGGTCAGCACAGGTCATAGGCCACACCCCTCCGGCAGGGCCACAGGTCAAGGACACGGGTCATCAGAGGTCACACAACCCGGGCCGGCGCCAGCAGCTGGCAGTGCACGCTGAGGACGGCCGACGGCCAGCACGGGTCACGGGCCACACCCCTCCGGCAGGGCCACAGGTCAAGGACACACGTCACCAGAGGTCACACGCCGTGAGCAGGCGCCAGCAGCTGGCAGTGCACGCTGAGGACGGCCGACGGTCAGCACGGGTCACAGGTCATACCCCTCGGGCGAGGACACAGGTCAAGGACACGCGTCACCAGAGGTCACACACCGTGAGCAGGCGCCAGCAGCTGGCAGTGCACGCTGAGGACGGCCGACGGTCAGCACGGGTCACAGGTCATACCCCTCGGGCGAGGACACAAGTCAAGGACACGCGTCACCAGAGGTCACACGCCGGGAGCGGGCGCCGGCGGACTTCACGCGAGGACGACCGTTTACCGCAGATCGCATACAAAAGACGGTGCATCGGACACAGATATCCAGATAACCCACTTTAGGAAGGCGTGTGGCAAAGCCCGTCACACAGCGACGAATGCGACAGGACGCGGCACTCACAACTGCTCGTCGAGCCAGCCGACGCGCACCAGGTACTCCATCCACGGGAACATGGAGGCGAGCGGCGTATGCAGGTGGCGGCGCGTCACGGCCGTCACGCCCTGCGCCGGGTCCAGCCGGAACTCGAGCAGCTTCAGCGCCGAGCTGGCGTTGGTCGAGCCGGCCCGGGGGTACCTGGCGGCCGGGCCAGGGCGACGTTTACCGGAGCGGTGGCGCGGCCGCGCACGGCACGGCCGGCGGCAGCAGGCGACACAGCGGAGCCATGCTGGAGCGGCCACGAACGGGATACGGCACGGTTCACGGCAGCGACGACGACTGATGTAGAGGTCTTCTATGCGTTAAATCATAACCGCGACAACCGAGCGAGGCGACACAGCGACCTCTGCCTGCCAGCTCACGGATCCAATGCCGTCATGATCAGATCAGATCAGACAGATCCCAGATACAGACAGATCCGTCACCGACGGAGCGGCTCAGACCGGCCTCTGCTGCCGTCCGAGCGTGGCGGGCGCTCGAGGCGGCGGCGAGGACGGCCGGCCCACCTGATGGCCTCGGGCTCGCCGCCCTCCTGCGCCGTGTTCAGGTACAGCACCTCCACGTGCGTCTCGTCCACTTCCTCGTACAGGATCCGGTACACGCCGTCTGCGAACGCAGGCGCGCACTGCATCGGCGGCCGTGTCGACACACGAGAAGCACTAACCAGCACGGAATTGCACATAACATTGGAGTAACCACAGGTTCGCGTCTGGGTATCATGAAAGGCTTACACTGAACGAGTCTCACGACACTGCTGGCGCACCGTGCCTTGCGTACACTGACCATGGCCACATGCAAAGAATGACGAATCGTACATGATCGGAACACGGATCGCAATGCATCGACGATCAGAACACGGATCGTACATTCTTTAACCGAGCGCCGCGAATTGTAAGTCATTTCGCCACTTTGGACATACATCAAGATCTTAGTCGCATTAAGCCGCTGTAGGCCACGACAGCGCAGTCCCAGCAGCCACACCCGTGTTCGTCAAGGCGAATACACGCAGCCTCGGCGGGCATGGGCGCTGAAGGCGCAGCTGTGAGGCATTCAGTCTCGGACACACGTGTCGCCGGCCGGTGCGCGTGAGAGGGGTAATCGACGGGGCGTCGGACACAGGACAAGATTGTCAAAGTTCACACTGCGCGCAAACACCGCGGAGACCAAGCACGCAACTAGCGTCATCATCAGCTTGCCGGAATGTGCACTTTAATGCTAACTCGTCGCGCGCATATTTAAACAGTCATGTGGCGACAGCGTACAAGCAGAAATACTGTGCTGACGACGATGGCCATTCACCGAATCACGATTCTTGTCGAGGCTGGCAGAGGCGCAGCAAATGCAGCCGTGGGGAGGGAAATCACGGAGGAATGCTGAGCCACACAAAATGACGTCACAAAATCACAAGCCGAAACAACGGCCGACATCACCACCGCGTCCAGCGCCGTAGCGCTGGAGTGTGATGTCACGGCCACAGCCTCGGGGTGTGACGTCACCGCCGCAACCCCGGAGTGTGACGTCATGTGACGTCACCACCGGCGCCCGGGCCGCACGCTCACCTGACGAGGTGGGCGCCCACCAGAAGCCGACGAAGCGCGAGAACTCCTCCTGCATCACGTACGAGGGGAAGCCGGCGCTCAGGGCCTCGTCCTCCTGGTGCGAGAACGTCAGCCGCACGTCCACGTCTGGCGGCGAGAACACGGCAGCGCGTCTCACGACGTGCGGTCTGCGACGCGCCGTTGGTTACATTTGATAAGTTTGCGCCAGGTTGCGTCACGTTGTGCATTGGCCGACCAAGCATCGTAAAAGCCACGAGCACACGCCAACAATTTGATATTCATTTCAGTGATGACGTGGAGGATGTCGAGTGAGGGTTTGGTTGGTTTCCGGTTGGGTCGTGCGTTATTTTACCGTGCCGCGGCTTCCCTCTCTGGTAACCACGATCCATGACAGCTAAGTAGATTGCATCCGTGTGCTGTGATACCGTTAGAAAATAAGCTGCGACTCAAGACTATAGGACTCAGACGTTGACTTAGACTGGCCTTTAACAGTCAAGGAATGTGACCCCGACTTGCACATATTACCCACAAATATGGCTGGTCTCGGACTAATATTGAGTGGTAGAGGAGGACTCGGAATGAGGCCTCTGACTCGACTCCGGCTGTTGTACCCAGACCCGCGGCCGGCCATGAGCAGCCCGGCGCGCTGTACCGCCGCTCTGGACACTCCCAGACACGGCCACACGGCTCAGCGATGTGCCCGGCCCCCTGGCGGCACCTGACCGGCCCGCTCCGGGAGAGCGACGCCAGGCGGCCCGAGGTCGGCCCGGCCCGGCCCGGCGCCGGCCGCACCGCCGGCTGACCTGTGCGCGTGCTGGCCACCCAGATGTCGCCGTCCTCCACGTAGGCCATCAGGTCCGGGTTGGAGGGGCAGATGGTGGGGTTGAGACGCGGCTGGCCGCGGCTGCTCGGGATCTCATAGGGGAACGCTACCGTGCCCTGTCGACCGACAGACGCGTCACCGTCACGTCACCGTCACGCAGGCCCACGAAACGACGCACAACCGTCTTCCAGTCTAGTGTTCGGCCATTCGACAACAATCCCAAGGGTCCCATTGCATTCCATGAGCACACAATACGCGCGACGCACTACACGCAGTCTCGACACGGCCCCAGTGTGACAAAGTACGCGCGGCTCCCCGCGTCCGGCACACACTCCATCCCACGCAGCCCCAACACGGCGCGAGCATGACCGGGCACTTCGGGCCTCACCCGCGAGCTGTCGTCCGTCACGTGGTAGACGCTGTTGCCGGCGGTGAAGATGAACTTGCCAGATGCGCGGTGCAGGCTGTACTCGGTGATGCCGCAGCCGACCACCCGCTTACGCTCCAGCTGCAGCTGCTCGGCGCGGCTCGACCGGCTGCCATAGCGCACGCACTGCGACAAAGCATGGCGCGGCACGTCACGTCCGCGGCCGCAGCTGACGCACGGCACGGCATGGCACGCTCACGGCCGCATCTGGCGCACGGCACGGCCCGTCCGCGGCACCAAACGTCACGCCCGTAGCTGGCGCACGGCATGGCACAGCAAGGCACGACACGTCCAAGGCCGCAGCTGGCGTACGGTAGGGCACGGCACCACCGGTCACGTCCGCGGCACTACACGTCACGTTCGCGGCACCACACGCCACGTCCGCGGCCGCAGCAGGTGCACGGCGCGGCACCGCGGGTGACGGACGCTCCGACGCCCGGACACGTGCCAGCCCGGGCTGCCTTGGCCGGCGGTGCCGCGTGTGTCTTAGCAAGACAGTACTGTTCGCCACAGAGCTGGTGAGCCGCAGCCAGCGCGTCGCTGCGCCGGTTTCAACCATGGTTACGAACGAGTCTTACTTTAACGCCGGCAACAACATGTCCTCTGAGCGGCCCGACCCAGCCCGGCCGGCGCGCTCTCCAGGGGCCCGCAACCACAGGCCACCGAATCAGCAGCGAGAGCGCGGCTTTTAAAGGCATTCATTATCGAATTCGACATTGAATGCAGCGCTTTCAGCTGACCTGCAACATTTGTTCCTGACAGTTAACCACGAAGGTACGAAGGCAGCGCGACGTTTCGAGCCCCGTACCTCAAATAATTACCGTATGTGCATTCATGTCTGAAGCTGATGTATTATAATCGCTTCTCGCAATTGCAATCGCCCGGGTAACAGCAAAGGTATCCTGGTTTAAACCGACAAAAGCGCATTCCTTGACAGCCGTGGTTCATAATACCTGGAATAGGGTGGACTCCTGGGCAGACCGACCAGGCAGATGCAGACTCAACACTTTCCAGTCATAGAATTCGAATAACGTGTACATAAATCCTCATAAGCTTTGTGGGACACTTGAGCTTAATCGGAGCAATGGTTATATGATATTTCTAAGCGCGGGCAGCAAAACATTATCAGCCACGCTGAGAAGGTAGCCATTTTCCAGCACGAGGTGGCGGACTGGGTGCTCGGCAAAGTCTGCAGCGGAGACTTGGTAAGGCACCTTGCACCCGTGGTCAGAAATAAATGCATTTGCCTCATGGTGAACACTGGCCTACGCACCAAAACGCCAAGCCTGCTACGTGCGATGGCCATGTGGGACTATGCTTTAGACCGTACGGTCACCAACGGTCGACACAGGTCATACAATCTTATGGAACGCTGGCATTCTGGCAGTTCATTGAGTGCGGTAAGACTTGACTATCGGAGCTAGGCCCAGAGGTTCCTAGACGCCGTGCTGGAGGGTCCGTTACGCAGCCATGAGGTGACAGTGCGGCTGTACATTGGCATGTTGAAGCGCTTCTGCAGGCATCTGAGGCAACACCCCGATGGGGGAAAGGAGAAAATTGGATTCCAGCATGGTGGAGCGACTCCCCTGCACATCCGTGGTGGCCCTGACCCGGCGGGAGGACCAATTCCAAGAGCGCATCATCATCCGAAAGACAGACACTCCGAAACCGGCTCATTCTCAGGATCCGACCGCTCCGTATACCTATCTGGAATTCCTAAAGTACCCCGAGTCAGCAAGGGAGTCCTCAGAACCCCGGCGACTGTGAGAATGCTACCGACCAGGAGGCTCGTAAAATCATACGTGTGCGTGTGCGCAAGGGCTATCCGTGAGGCGGTAACGCTCGCGGACCTCTGCCCCCCACAAAAAGTGGGTCGCCTGGAGCATGTGCTTCAGAATTCCCGGATGATGATAAGGTATGCGCGATGCATCACACATATCTCCAGGGTTCGGTGACATTTTTCATCAGTACATTTACCGCTGTGGCTCGTCAACTGCACGCCATGGGCAGGAGAAATCAGGGCATATTTTATTTCCGCACGATAGATTTACGGCGCGTCAACTGATGATGATGTGGGCTTTGGGGCGCACCGACTACGTTGGTCATATGGCTCCGCGTCGACTGCACACGGTCATGTGGCGCAGGATACAAGGCTTCCGGACGCGCGCAACGCAGGTCAGCAGAGCGCAGCAGATTCTGAGCTGCCGCTTGCGGGGATCGTGCGTGCACAGCTGGTGGCAGCAGGCCGTGTGGAGCCGGGCCGGCTCGACACTCACCTGGAACGTGGGGTCGAACACCTGCTGCCAGGGCAGCTTGGCGTTCTCGCTGGCGGCGTCCGGCGCCACGTCCACGTAGCACAGTTGGTTCTCAGAGCCCGTGCGCGCGCTGAGGAAGTAGACGCGCAGCTGGCCGTCGGGCAGCCGGCGGAACGAGAAGTCTTGCGGTGTGCGCGACGAGAGCGCGCTGAGCGAGCGGCGCAGCTGGTGCAGCGTCTGGCGCATCTCGGCCCACGGGCGCTGGCTGGCCATGACACGCTGGCGGTGGCAGACAAGCCCCATCAGCTCGCCAGACAGCATAGCATACTGACAGCTGGTGGCAGGTGACTGTGTGGCAGCAGTATATTCACTGGCAGCTGCACATTGGGATCAGTGTGGCAGGGTTGTGGGACAGGAATGTGCACCAGGGTGTCCTGACCCCAGTTGAACCCTGTCATGTTGCAGGAGTGGAAAGGAGTACACACCACAAGTCACACAGGTGACCAAAGTGGTTTGTGTGCTGGTGCACATATTTTTTGTCAAACTTATTTTTATCCTCTGTGCAATCAGGACAGCCAGAGTTCAGCTTCCTGGAAGATTGCTAGATACAAAAATATGGTTGAATCCATCCCTCAAAAATATAATATAGGATGGTACAGGAAAGCAATGTCATAAGGTCCATACACCAGTTCACAGTTTATGCCCCATAGCTAATAATGCAACACACATGAGCTTTAGTTCATGCAAACTTTTGCATGTCAAAATACAGATGATTTTGATGTTAAGGATTCTGTTTCCCAAAACAATCATTTGATGGCCTCCTAAAAAGATAGAGCTTTTGAGCATTTTTTCATGGTTAGAAAAGTGCATTTCTGAGTGACTTATGCTAGCAAACCAAATCAATGCTGTCTGTTTTGTCAACTTCAGGGCTGTATTCTAAAAAATAATCTTGATTAATTTATCATATACATGATCTGATCCTGATTAAAACTGTTCTTGATCCATTATTGCTTTACAAATGGTGAAGGGTTTTGATACAGCCTGAATGATTCTCTCAATTGATTTACTCATGTAGGAGGAAGGGGTTTTTGTGGGCACTGCCAATACCAACAGCGGAACTGGCTTTCGGACCAAAAATTTATATTCAGATATGGTTGCAACTAAAGCAAGCAAATACTAAACCATTTAAAACTTCAAAGGCTAGGTGCCATGTTTTCATTCAATGGCATGCAGCACTCAATTGTGTAACCCATTCCCAGTTCAATAGGGACCTAACAGCCATCACTTTTTGGTTGGAACATTACACTAGAACACCACGGGAATTTTGCTCTACGAGCCCGTGATCAGTGCGCAACCAAAAAAGGGGAATGGCCAAAAAAAAATGGGCAACCCCATCAATGAACGGCACCTACATGAGGAGGACCGTACGCAAATAGCCACAAATACTCTATGCCAATTTAAGGAAGGCTCCTTACATTTAAGTCCACTTAAATACCGCAATAAGCTGGAAGTGTTTGCGTCCACCACAAACACTTCTCACCCCTCACAACCTCACTCCCATGAAGTGAATGAGGTGGATGCTGCCGCATAGCTACGGCTTTGGGCGCAGCCAATGTGACGGCACAGCTGTTCTTGAAGACCTCAACCACACATAGATCTGCCAGCTGATGATGACGTCAGTGACGAACCAGCCTTGTCGAGATATTGCATTGGCTGAAACTAAGGTTAGGTAAGTTTGGAAGCTGATCAAGTTTCTTGGCTGTGATTGAATTGGAGAAATTTGCGTTTTACTCGGTAAAATTAGCATTTCAACAGACATTTTTTAGTTCAAAGAACCTTTTTATACACATATGCCGATTTACGCATTGAGCAAACGCATACGCAATACCCAATTTTTTACCAAAACTCCCAAAAACATCGAGTTTTTCGATACAAGTCAGGCCAAAAATGCCCAGCATCGTGCAATAGGCACAACATTTGGTGCTTTGCGTCAAAACTGGTCACTATGGACGAAATCTTGGAGTACAGGGAAAAGCAATGAAGGCTCCGAGTCCAAACTTGAATGGCTATAAGCCTTAGTCACACAGTTTTCCGCAACAAAGGAAGCGTATGAGAGCTAAAATGGTGCAAGCCATCCTTGGCAGGGTACCAAATGAAGGCTTCTGCAAGTTAATCCCAGAAAGCCAGACATAGTCCAAACTAAACCAGGCGGAATCAGGCTGGACCGAACGGGTTCACACATCACCGGCAGGACCGAACGGGACCAGGCGGGACCTCCAATTTTTAGCCCTTGGCCCCTGATACAGAAAGTTGAGGCCGCCTCTACGCAATCCAAGTAAGCGAGCTTAGAGCATATCCAGAACATGTAATCCTCCTTGGTCATGAATCGATTTCTACTGGTTATCCGCAGACGAACATTTCCGGTACATTTCCCACGTTGTTCCTCATTCCTGCGTCTCGCTATGTCACCGACAGTTGGCGGGTCAAACGCGAAAGCGTGCAGTTTGTTTTATTGATAACAACACTAACGAATGAGATAATCATAGGAGCGCTGAAATTTCACGGTTATATAAATTTATTAATTATGAGGACCTAAATGTATCCTTTTCAACGTACTTAACTGGCCCAGGGCGCCAATGGTCACTCGCTCCGGCTGCCGCTGTACTAACCCTACACGGTCTTACAGGAGCCGTTCGATGTCATTTCCAGCACGACTTGAGCATACTCACTTTTAGAGCTTGCGGGTTGGGGAGGGGAGCGAGACGCCTCGTTTGGCCATGCCGTGAGAAAACGCGCCCGTCTAGAGCGCAGCGCAATCGTGCGCTTGAGAATGCACATCCGCCGCATAATGCGTCCGCGAGGGTTACCGGTGTTAAGTAACAAAGGTTTTTCCAATCACAGCGAGCCGTTCGTCTGGGCACCGGTCGGGACATGGAAATGAGAGACGTTCGTATGTTACTACATGTATTAGCCTCATCACTGATATTCGTTGTGCTCAGAAAGCGTTTATAATATTCCTTTAGCTCGAATTGATAGAACACGTAACGCAATAGACACAAGGACTCGCTAACAATACAAGAGCTTCCACGTAACGCAATGCACGAGACGCAAGCAAACAACAAAAACAGGAACAGTTCACGCCGGCGCGCCCGGTGCAGCGGTAATATTCCACACAACCCGTCTTGTTCAACACGTGGCATCGCGCCACTACGACCCGGTTTCCCCGATACCCAGGACGGCGCTGTCGAGACCGCGGCGGCGTCCACCTGCCCGGCGCGCTCACAGGATGCGCGCGCCCCGCCCCGGCCAGCTCCCACCATCCCGCAGACGCCAGCCCCCGGACGCACGTCAGGCGTCTGTCACTGAGTGATGACAGTGACCCCTGGCTCTCATGCAGGCCCAATGATTAGTGGGGGCCGTCCTGTGCCAGGCGACAACCACTGACGCTCGGAGTTTACTTGATTCCCAGACTGCCTCGCCATAAGGCGCCGTAATGATGTAGCCGTAAATGCAGTCATGTGATAATGCTGCTGAGGATTAGTTTGTTTGTTTTTTTACTTAACAAGCCGATGTTTTCCGTCAAATGCTAACGCTATTCAAACCCGCTTTTGATCACGGTGGCTTAGATCACGGTGGCTGAGGATGAGGCAACACGCCGCACGGGCTGACCGTGGCTGACAATGGACCAACGCGCTGCACCGGAGCAGCCGCGTTCGACGAGGAGCCAGCACGCCGCACGGGTGCAGCCGTGGCTAACAATGGACCAACGCGCTGCACCGGAGCAGCCGCGTTCGACGAGGAGCCAGCACGCCGCACGTGTGCGGCAGCCTGCAGCTGTACTGCGGAAGACTGGCTTGGAGCCGATTTGGCACCCCACGGAATATACACGGCACTGCCACCTACGAGACGGAAGACGGCAGCCCAAGCCCAACACATAAAAATATACCCTCACAAGTAGACTATACCTTACAACGCGTGGCCGCTGCTTGCATTCGCACTTAGAAATCGGGCAGCGAGGAGTGCCTGTGCCCTGGCAGCGACGGCATCTCAGGCTGACGGTACAAACATCGCTGAGATGCGTTTGATTCACCGAGTGATGTCATTGTCGAGTACAACAGCACAGCCCGCCAATGCAAACCCTAACCCGAAGACAGGCGGACGAACGGTAGTGTGCGAAGTGCGGGTGCCACGTGCCTGTTCGCTTAAAGCTCTCGGTGAAGTGGCGCAACGCTGTGTCGATACTAGCGTGCTTGTCTGAGTATTGATCTAGCATCTGTGCGTGTTTAAATACTTACTCATATATCCATCTTTATATACATATATATATATATATATATATATATATATACATGTATATAAATTATGCATATATATATATATATATATATACATGCATGTGTATATAGCTCATTTACGTCTCTGATGTGCGATAAAGCAACTGCGCTCGACCCTGTTCCCATCGTGCACTTGATAACGAAGGCTACACAACCAGATCAGGACGGAAACAGAACGAATTGGCCCCAGGATATAGACTCAGCGACGACCCACCACCATCTCACCACCCAAGGTCGGAAGACACACGTCGCAATACAACAGATGCTCCGGCGGTTCTGCAGATGAGCACCACCAACACGCCCTTGCAGACCGGGCGCGTACCGACCGTGGCGCCCTGCCGCGCCAGAGGCGGACCCCGCCGCCCACACAGCGGCAGGGGGCGGCGGCGCCGGCCCCTACTCGGCCGCCCTCTTCTCCGCCAGCTCCTCCATCACGCGCTGCTTGCTAGGGTAGCCGTCGGCGGCCATGCGCTCGGCCCAGCGCGCGGCCGCCGGGTCCCGGTTCATGGAGGCCACGCCCTTCACCTTGTCGCCCTGGCAGAAGAACGCCACGAACTTCTGCTCGTCCACGTCGCCGTCGAATATGACGTCGTCGAACTTGGGACAGTAGCCTGCGAGGCAGACTCGGCAGAGTGAGTCAGGAGCAAGGGCGCAGGGCGCCGCCGCCACAACACACCGAATATTCGGACGCTCCCTAAACTCTCTGCTACACACGTAGGCATGGATCCGACATGGCGCACGGTTTGGAAGCCCAGTGCTGTCTTTACTAGGCAGAGCCGGGGCCGCGTGAATCGCCGGGTCATAAAACATCTGATACCCAGGCCACATTGGCCATACTCTCCTTGCCACCTTCGGTATTCAACCCTTGTAATACAACAAAAAAACATCGACTAATCCAGCCCCAGTATTATTTTTTTCACTGCATGCTACCACTCTCCGCCACGCCTCATGTGCTCGGGGACTCTCTCCACTCCTTAGGGCAGTCACAGGTCCACCAAAGTAGGCGGGTGTCACACCGGGATCTACAATGAACAAGCGTGGGCGCCACTTCGTGGCGACGCCCATTAAAAGGCGAAATCGCGTATGACGCACATCTCGTAGGCCGGAGAGTACTAGTGACAATCTAAAAACAGGGTGGAACGTACAACAGCCTTCGACAGATAGAGGCGACGTAGCACAAAACGTACTGAGACAAACACTGCCGCACTCGGACGAGACGCAATGGATTAAGTACTCAAAATACTACGCTCTCACTGGTGAGAACTAAGCCCCGGCCCTCCATGCAAGGCACCCCGTTCGTGAATCCGTCCAAGACGCACCACCGATGGCCGTGTCCGACTTGAAACGCATCTCTCTACGGATGAGATGGGCAAACAAGCAAGTAAGTACTCGATGGTTTGCACAAGCGGCTTCGAATTTCTGGCGCCCGCCATGCAAGCTGTTGCGTGCGCCCCGAACCCCGAGTCCAGCCGTCCAGTTCAGTCCAGTGCTCTCAGTTCAACACGAGCTCACGACCCCAGCTGTGCAGTTCAGTCCAGTGCTGTCCAGTTGAACACGGACCCATGACCCCGATTGTGCAGTTCAGTCCAGTGCTGTCCAGTTCAACAGACAAGTAAACCTCCCCTTTCGCCGGGCAGAACTGCGAAGGGTTTACATGCCGCACAATGCTGTGCCACGGCCGCCCCAGGGAAGGGTTGATCCTCGTTGGCCCGTCGCCAGCTGACCTTCAAAGCCAGTCGGGCCTGCTCTGGGACTCACCAGAGCTGGCGGGCCAGCTCCAGAACTCGTAGCCAGTGCCGCTGGATAACTATAATGCCGTGCATTACAATGATGTAGTCCATTGCATCTGAATGGGGCACTTGCAGTTTTGGCACGAGTTGCAGTTGCTAAACGCCACGCCTCGGAATGCTGATCACCACGGCGCTCCGAAGCAGCCCAAACCCGCACCAGACGCACATCCGTCCACACCAGCGGCGCCGGGCTGCCCCACTCACCCGTGTACCGGATGCTCTTGCCGAACAGCTGTGTCCAGAAGAAGGGCACGGTGCTGACGTCGGTCTGCAGCCCCGCGGCGTTGCGGCCGGCCACGCGGCCGTGGTAGTGCGCCAGCTGCCAGTGCCCCATCACCACCAGCTCGTCGTCGGCCAGTGGCAGCGGGAAGGACGCGATGTCGCCGGCCGCGTAGATCCCGTCTGCCGAGCTCCGCAGCCGCTGAAACCGCGTCACCGTCGTTCACGGGTCTGCCGGCGGCCCAGGCGCTACCCTCGGACGCTACCTTCCGCGCGCGGTCAGCACCCGCGTACGGGTCTGCCGGCGGCCCAGGCGCTACCCCCGGACGCTACCCTCCGCGCGGCCAGCACCCGCCCACGGGACTGTCGGCCGCCCAGGCGCCACCTTCGGCACGCGGTCAGCACGCACCCACAGGTCTGTCCGCGGCCGAGGCGCTACCCCCGGACGCTACCTTGCGCGCGCGGCCAGCACGCGCTCACGGGTCTGTCGGCCGCCCAGGCGCTACCTTCCGCACGCGGTCAACACGCGCCCACGGGTCTGTCGGCGGCCCAGGTGCTACCTACCGCGCGCGGCCAGCACGCGCTCACGAGTCTGCCGACGGTTCCCAGGTGCTACCTTCAGACACTACCCTCCGCGCGAGGCCAGCACGCGCTCACGGGTCTGCCGACGACCCAAAAGCTACCTTCAGACGCTACCTTCCGCGCGCGGCCAGCGCGCGCTCCCGGGTCTGCCGACGACCCAAAAGCTACCTTCAGACGCTACCTTTCGCGCGCGGCCAGCACCCGCTCTGCGAAACGTTCCAATGAATTAGGGGCATTTCCTGACAGCGTTTCCACAACCAATTAACATGTATTACGAAGCACGTCCCATTCGTCGACTAGTCCTCCGAACTCGAGTTATCTGAATCAGAGCCGGGACGTCTACCTTGTCCACGACGACGTTTCCATGTTTGTCCAGCTTGACCACGTCTCTGAGCATCTCGGTGCAGGGCGTGACGCCGACGCCCATCAGGCACACGTCGGCCGGCAGCTCCGAGCCGTCCGTCAACAGCACCTGTCGCCATGGCAACCCGTCAAAACATCGCATACGAACACTTCGTGCAGCAAAGGATCGTATGTTGGACGATCGCACGAGAAACAGACAACACCTGCAATCACCGGCTATTGCCCTAAGGCCTACAGCATAAGGGCGCCCAACCGCCGGCTACTGACCTGGGTCAGCCGGCCCGACTCGCCCTTGAACTCTCGCACGCTCAGGCCCATTTTGAAGACGATGCCCTTGGCCTCGTGCATGGCCTGCAGCATGGCGCCGATCTTGGGGCCCAGGGAGCGTTCGTACGGCACGGAGCTCGAGCCCACCACCACCACGCTGGCTGCCTTGCCCTGGCAGTACGCGGCCACCTCCATGCCTGTTGACAACGCAGCAGAAGACTGGTCGCAGACCTCGAGGACAGTCAACGGGGGGTCAGCGTCAGCACACGTGACAGTCTCGGATAATTTACCAGTATTTGAATGCAGCCTTAACCAATTCTGGCTTCGTAGTACCCGGCTATGACGGTGACGACCAAGAAACCGGTAAAATGTGCTTTAAAATGTCAAACCTCAGCCACTCACAATTATCACACACTTTAATCAAAGATGAAAGTATTGACAATACAAGTACGGAAGAGCATTAAACGCTGCGGACCCACCGCCGCGAACAAAGAAAAACACGCGGCGCAAACGCTTGAACAAACGCGGCGATGCCCAACTTTGCCGAGGGTGCCCGCCAGATTCGGCTCGTCTGGCGGTCAGCCTGAGTAAACCGTGCCCGACATCATCTCCGTCCCCCTATCGCGGGTCTCTGTCTGTCGCTGCCCACCTACCGATGAAGCTGCTGCCGATGATGACGACGTCCCTGCCCAGGAGCCGGGCCGCCACGGCGTTGCCGTCCTCGGGACTGCGCAGGACGCAGACGTTTTCCAGGTCGGAGCCGGGCACGGCCAGCACGCGCGGCCTGCCGACCGGCTGACGTCAGCGGCGGAGGGTCCGGACCCGGCACAGGTCCGGGCCACGCGCTGCCGGCGGCTGATCGGACGACGTCATACAGACAATCAGGAGAAGCGGGTGCAAACTGAACACGTGAAAAGCCTCACCTGCTGCCGGTGGCCACGACCAGGCTGGTGTAGGTTAACTCCGCGCCGTTCTTGAAGCACACTTTGCGCTCGTCCTTGTCAACAGACGTCGCTTCGTGTTCTGTCAGCACTTCGATGTCACTGGCCTGCCAAGGGAACAGGCTGGAGAACGGCCGGCGGACGAAACTGGATGCACCCAACGCCTTATAATGCAACACAACACGCAGTCAAACACGCACGATACAACCATACAACCAAAATCACGTAACACACGACCAGTTAACATATTATTTATCAATGTCGATGAATATACGCAATGGCATTTCGCACTGTAGCGCTCGCGCTTTGTTAACGCAGAAAACGTGTACCGTGGATTAACTCCAGCAATAGGCGATTAAACAGGATCTCTTTCCTTGAAAGCAAGGGATTCTATGGTCATCATCTGTCTCTGCTTCCCGCAATTGGTCCAGCCCTTGCCATTGGCATTAATTCCACCCGTCTGAAAACTCACCCCAACTTCAAACGATGAGACATCAATTCTAGTGTTAAACCTCATCTCCAGATCATATTATCAGACTATTAAGCGACATCTGACCTCGTAGAACGCGGTGGAGCGAAGCTGCATCTTCTCGGCCTCCATGTCCAGGGCCTTGCTGAGCTTGGGCCGGTCGTACGGCAGGTACTTCTCCTTGGTCGCTAGCACGACCCGGCCTTTGAAGCCGCTCTCCCGCAGCGCCTCCACGCAGCTGGCGCCCGCCGCACCTGGCGCACGGGCCGCACCCGATCGTCAGGACACGTGCTAAAGACGGTACCGGTGGCGGTGCTACGGGGGTACCAGTGGCGGCGCTACGGACGGTATCAGTCGCGGTACTGGGGACGGCACCAGTCGCGGTACTACGGACCGTGCCAGTAGCACTGCTACGGACGGTACCAATGGCGGTGCTACGGACGGCACCAGTCGCGGTACTACGGACCGTAACAGTAACAGTGCTACGGACGGTACCAGTGGCGGTGCTACGGACGGTACCAGTGGCGGTGCTACGAACGGCACCAGTAGCGGTACTACGGACCGTAACAGTAGCAGTGCTACGGACGGTAACAGTAGCAGTGCTACGGACGGTACCAGTGGCGGTGCTACGGACGGTACCAGTGGCGGTGCTAGGAACGGCACCAGTGGCAGTGCTACGGACGGTACCAGCGGCAGTGCTACGGACGGCACGAGCAGCGACCAGCGCGGCACCGGCAGGTCCTCTCACGCGAGGACGAAATAAACACAGATTTCTGCCATATATGTTGGGTCGGCCTAATGATTGGTCAATGGTCAGGTACACTAGTGTTACGCGATTGCGACCTACGTCATGCGACTAACTCAGTCGCAGAAGACAACTCGTTCCTGAATGCACAAGCAGTTCCAAGCAGCCCAGTGAAGTCTGTTACTCTCGTTCACACCAATGGGTAACAACTACCTGTTCTGTGGAAACCCCTAGAAGAAAGAACAAAACAAATAGTGGGCAAATTTAGTGGCATGTAACTACAAGACAATGCAAGCTTCTACCTTGTTTGAGTGTAAACACGCGCACCAATATTTTATCTACACCGAGAGAGCGAAGCACTGACAGACAACACATTCCCTGTGCAACTCACCGCCGCCGAGGACCAGTGCCACATCCTTGCACTCATCGGATCTCTTGCCCAGCTGTTTGGTGCACTTGTTCTCATGAATATGCTGTCTTTTAGCGCGGACTTTCACGTCACCGCTATCACCCACTTCAACCTGGTAGCAAGGGATGCCGTCGAGTCCCGGGAAATCCTCGATGTCTCCTGTGAATGGATTTGATAGATAAAAGCTAGGGATTAGATTCTACAAAAAAATGTTTTTTTCACTCTTAATTACTTTTTAATGAGAATACGGTCGTGGTTTCAAAACAGACATTTAGCCCCCCCTCCCCAACAAATACCGAACAAAAAACAACTGGCACCTTACTCTAAAGCAATGTCATAATGCTGGCACACAATACCAGCACTAGATTTCCATGACCCATGTTCAACCAAACCTTTCACCCACAATTTCAGAAAATGGACAAAAAAAATTGGCAAAAACAAGCACATACAACATGAGTAAATGTCTGCACTTAATTTTGTTAGGCCCCTTGATTCTTAAGCCTTTTCAACTTGCCAATACAGTTAGCTGACACCAACATTTCCATAAACTGCTCCTCTCATCCTATTAAACAGCAAAAGAGTCGCAATGTTTCTGGACATCAAAAGATGAAAATCCACAATCACTGCTGGCTAGGCAGCTTAATGCCACCCCAACAGAACAGAGCACCAACTCATCAGTAGGCAGCTCTGTATTCCCAGAGACCATAGTTTAACAGCAGGTGTCTTACCAGTGCTGACGTTGAAACAGGCACCATGCCAAGGACAGCGGATCCTGCCATTGGAGACCACACCCTTATCCAGGGGGGCGCCGTAATGGGAGCACTTGGTGCCCAGGGCGGAGATCTGCCCCTGGTGTTTGACGACCAGGATACGCCCCTCACCAGCCAGGTCACAGATACGCATCCTGGCGAGGCAGGCAGCACGTCACACGTGGTGGACTGGACGTCAGCGTGCTGTTGCTGCTGCAGTTGCTGTCACCAACTACAGCTACATATTGTACCAACTAGCCTGATTGACAAAGCCATGCCATACAGACTGACCAACACATGCTAGCGCAGTATGCACAAGCATAACTGGATGCCATCCTGAAGTCATGAACAACCATGTGCTGATCAATGACATAATAAAGGAAAATTCAGGCACAGCCTTTCTTTTTAATGATGCTAAGAACAACCAACATCAATAAGCAGTTTTGTAAAGAAACCAATTATGGCAAGAACTAACATATTGTAAGTCCAGGCACATTTCCCACACAGATCTCACACTGGACCAATTGATCATGCTGAAATACTATATATAACAAGCCATGATGAGCTATTTAAATGACAAAAGGTCATGACCAAATTACTGTCATGCCAGTTTACAGACATACAACCTCAGAAAATAAAATCAAACCACCCAGCAATATCACAAAATATGTTTGACCAAATAGAGAGCCTGCAAATAACATGTTGACCTAATGACTTACTCATCATCTTCAAGCTCATCTGCCTGGCACACTATACCTTCAACGAACTCACGCTTTTTACCTGTGAGGAAAACAGCACAATTATTATGGATCCATGGGGGGAGGTAATAAATGCACAACACTCATACACTATACACATTCATTGTGTGTACATAAATTGACTATCCACGTGCCTTTATACAAGGCAAAGCATATGCATCTGCCCAGCACATATTGCCACATGTGAGCAGCATGTAGCACACCCAGCAAGTAAGGTGTAAATGTTGGTGCACCTATTGAGTCAGTGCTGAGAGGTCATCCATGGACATGGGGGTGAGCACCATCTGCAAACATTTTCCCCATGCTGTCAAATCATCATATCCATATTTTCTAAAAATGGAGCAGTCTTCTCAGCCACAGGTTTCTGCCATCCCTCCACAGAGTAAAGGGCCAATATTAGCCACAAGATTCTGTCCACACTGAACAATACCACTAACCATGGAAAAGCTGGCAAACATGTGACAGAATAGCTCCCATAGTGATCTGTGGAAAAGAGAATGCAAGACAAATAAAGTCATAGTTAATGGCAATAACATGTCTCATGAATACAATAATAATATTCATAGATAGATCATAGATAGATAGATAGATATATAGATAGATCATGTATATCATGAATAATAATCATAAATATAATCAGGCAGCACAAGAATGCATGTCAAATTGCTTCACAATGAATGCTGCAGGCATATCTCAAGCATACAGCACATCATGTGGAACTATGCAACATACAAACTAATTTTATGGAATGCTGGGGGTACCACAAGATCCTTAATGCTAGTAAATGAACCCAGCATCTAGGGTAGGCAGAAAAACCCAGGTGCCCCACCTTCAAAAATCATTAAATTTAATTTCATTTCACCCATACTGATGATGCTGACTTGGGCTTTCAGAAGTACTGGCTGCTCTAGTTATGTGACACCCATATTCATTTCACTGGGTTCTAACCAACTTTTGCTTACTCATGGCTGATCAGACTTCCTTCAAAGCCCAGAAACAAGCCCATGTGGCCCAACAGTGACCACCTCTGGGGGCATGGTCTGACGATGGTATCGCCAGCGCAGGCCACGCACTTCCCATCCAATATTGTCACCGACATATCTTACAGACATCAATGAATACATCAAGCACCTCATCGAACCCATCGTGCGACTAACAAGGATCAAAAACCTTGCCCGTCGGCTCCCCGCCCACGACCACAGACACAACAACTTGGAATGCAGCTGTTAATGATTGTGTAAATGTCACGAAGGTCGATAACACCTCCAGCTGATTGGAATATGACGTCATAAATCCACAGCACCACTGTCAACCTGGGTGTTCAGTTCAGGGCACTACATGTTCAGGGCACTACACTATTTTGCATGGCATCTACGTGCGCATATAGGCCTGCCTAGTCCATGATGACACTTGGGCGTTTCCCGTTGCACATTTGGCACCCAGCAGGCGGGCGGTAACCGCAAGGCACCAGGCGGGAAACCGCCTGGTGCCTCGAACGGAGCTCACAGAGCCAGACAGAACCAGACGGGACCGCAGGGAGCCAGAAGAAACGTTATAAAGCGAGACGGGACAAGACGGGACCATTCCAGACCAAACCACAGGGGAACGGATAGAAGCAGAGGAAAACAGACGATGCTGGATGTGACTGGACAGGACAGAAATGGACCAGCGGGAACGGACGGAACCGGAAGGGACCAAACCGAACCGGACAGGGTTAGAGAAACCAAACCGATCCGGACAGGGTCAGAGGCAACAGTCTTGACTGAAAGAAGCCGGGCGGGACAGAACGGGACTACAAGGAACCGGAAGGGACCAAACCGAACCGGAGGGATCCTAAGGCACCAATCGTGACCGAAGGAAACCGGGAGGAACAGAACAGAGCCACACAGAACCGGCCGGAGCGGACCGCATCAGTCAGGACCGGGCCGCGCCGGACGGAACCGAACCGCACCGGACCGGACGTGAAGAAGCGAGATAAAGCCGGACGGGACCGGACGAAGCCAGTGGGGTCAGATGGAACGTGATGAGGTCCGACAGGACCGGATGGAGCCAGATGGGACTAGACAGGAAGGGACGAGGCCTGATGGAACTGGACGAGACCTAATGGGATCAGATGGAACCAGACGAGACCCGGGACCGGTTGGGACTGCACGGAGCTTGGCGGGGGCCAGACAGGACCTAACGCGCTGGAACAGGGTCGGACAGCAAGGAACGAAACCAAAATGAACGAGATGGAACAAAACAAGCCATGATGGGACTAGAACGGGACCGGGCGAAATCAGACGAGCTCCATCTGGTCCCATTCGGTCACGTTTTGGTCCCGTCAGGGTTCGTTCTGTTCTATTCGTGCTTCATCCGGTCCCGTCCTGTGCCAATTGTTCCCGTCTGGTCTCGTCTGGTTTGATCTGATCATTTTCGGTTCTGTCCGGTCCTATCCAGTCCTCTTTAGTCCCGTCAATTGCGTCCAATCCCATCCAGTCCCATCCGGATTCATCCGGACCCGTCCTATCGCATTAGGTTTCGAGGGCACCGTTAAGCCCCGTGCCGCCTTATCATGTTCGAGCTGGTTTCTTCCAACCCTGTTCAGTCCCGTCTGAGCTCATCACGCTCCACCCGATGCCGTCCAATCCGTCTGGTCCCATTCCGTCCCGTTCGGTTTCTATCGGCCGCGTCTGGTGGCGTCCGATACTGTCAGACCCCGTGCAGTTCGGTTTGGTCACTTCCGGGCATGCTTGCTCTCATCCGGTCCCACCGATCCATCCGGTACCATCTAGTCCAGTCTGATCTCGTTGCATTCGATCCGGTCCCATCATGTCCCATCTGATCACGTCCAGCACTTGTCTAGTCGCGTCTGATTTCGTCTGGTTCCGAACCGTGCAGTCCGGTCTCGTCCGGTATCGTCCGATCCCGTCGGATCCAGTGAAGATCCAGTGAAGCGCACAAAGCCTGGGGATGAGCTGCCAGAGCCTTGGCAAGCGGGGAGCACCTAGTTGGCAAATGATAGCAAAAGGTCCCTCCGCCCCCCCCCCCCCCAAAGAAATCACCGAATACGGCCCATTTATTTATAAGCGCGCGTTTAACCTTGATATTGTTCATTTTACGCTTTAAACCTGGAATATAAGTCGCAAGCTACCACCAAACCAATGCTATCTGAATTTTATAGTCAGTCAACTGAAGAAACTATGCGTTAATTGGCTGCATGAAATACATTACCGGCGCTTCTCACTTTACAATGGTCCAGTGAACTTTTTCTAAGCCGATAAAATACGGGAGCTTAATCAGGATCTTTATATGAACTGTACAAAGATATTAACGGCCCCACGAATGCCGATCTAAATGGGTCGATAATTTGTATTAATATGACCAAGCCTGGCAAGATTCAGGATTCTGACGAGATTCAGACCAAGGCAGGATGTTTATGGGACTCGGTGATGTTGAGCGGCCTAGAGCCCAGCCAAGTGGCCGCGTGACATGCAATGATCAGTGAAGGCAAAGGATGGGGAAGCGAATCTAAAGAGCGATGGATGACTCAGAGCTAAGCCAAATGCTCAGAGAATTACGACGCGGTACAAGTATTGTGCCGTCCCAGGCGGAGAGTTTTGGTTGGTCGCTTGTGGGTGTTGTCAATGTTTCAGCTGGCTGGTCCCATCGGTCGTGCTGGCGCCAGCTCACATTGATCCAAGCTTGTTTATGCGAATGCTTCGCGCTTTAGCCATGAATGGTGAGTAAATAGATGTCTGGTTTTGCGTACGGGATAGACGAAACCATTGAGCATTCTTTTTATCATTCTTTTCTACCTCTTCTATTATTCTATACATTTTGTATGTTTCATTTGTACTTTTTACCTCCATGTTCCATTCCTTCCCAGACATTATGACTAACGTAGAAAAAAATTATTGAAAAAGCAGGGTTTAGTCTGACGGCCTTCAAGCGACGGCCTGCTCCCATCACCGATTTAATAACTTGATAATCTGCCCCCCTACTATCCGTCTCTCATCGCACGCACACGCCACGTATGCGTCTTTGCCCGCCACACCGACTTTCAAAACGATTCTCCACGCCTACATGTGCAATCCAAAATACACAGAAACGCTATTTACTTCTGCCCACACTAGCTATGTGTGGGAAGGGATTCAATGCATAATTCACAAACCCATGACAAAGTGTTCCCACCATGTTTATTTCACTCCGAGCCGGCCATGAAACATTCAGAACCAAATATTTAGGAGCAATGATTTTGTATTATAATGCAACCCGAGCGTCGTTGGGTTCATATTTGTGGTCAATCGTTGAGTTTCAAGGAGAACTAATCGCCAGTACTACAAAATCAGCAGGAAGGAACGCTTGGCGGACACGAATGCTTCACATCATGTTATGAGGGTAGTACAGTGCGACATCGAACCATTTCAACGCACCAAAATGCACCGTTTTTCACAATATTGAGACATGTGAAGCGTGTCTTTCAGCATGTTCATGACACACCTCATCCTGCCGTCAAGAGCCCTCATGGATCCTCCATTTAGGGCTGGCACGATCTTGATCGAGCTCGTATGCACAGTTGTGCGCCCTTAATAGCTGAACACTATGACACCACACATTTTGAGGAGCCAGCGCGAAGCTTGTTTACTTGGACCGTGTTCAACACGCGAGCTTGGGCTGCTGTGTCGGCAAGAGGCCAAAACGCCTTTTGATGGTAATCCTTTCCCGAGAGTACTTGTCCTCTGGCGAAAACCGGGCGGGATGTGCAGACTGGGTTGGCCGGCCGTCATCGTTCGTCTTCTTCAATGTATACACACGCTCTCCATTCTCATCTATGTGGTACATCAGGTACATTGCGATGACTGGCCTGCAAAAAACGTTAGTCAATTTTCACCCAACAAAGCTATGGAGGCAGCAGTAATAGAAGATTAGGGCTTTCGGACGCCTCGATTGCGTGCTCACATGGCGCCCAAAATCATGGAGGCGGGGCATGATCACATAGGCGACACGGATGATATTTCAGCTGGCTGACACTAGTTCCCGCCATTCTCTTTTCTTTACCACGAGGTTCACATAAGACAAAATGGAAAAGCTTTCTCAGCAATACTGGTATTGGGTAGAACACTGGTCTAAATGATACAACTTCATTTTTTAGCACATCTGGTACTCAACAAGTCATCGTTTGGATGTCATGGGCCGTTTTTATGACACTGCCAGATGGACGGCGTCAGAGCTGCAATTGCGGTGGACGGCGTGAACCCGTCATGACGACATACATATCTGGATGACATTCAAATAGGGGATGTGAAATACGCTGCAGAAGTTCGCGGGAGTCAAGCTCAGAAGCGAGAGGGCTTGAAATGTTAATCAGCATATAGCTGCGAGCTCCACGGAATGATCTTGGAAATAGCTATCTCAGTTCAAAACCCCATATAAACGTGAAACCGATAGCCGCCGACCCAGTTCAAAGCCCATGGCTTTTTGAGATGTTGATGAAGCAAACACTCTCTCAAATAAATCAATTATCCCCCTAACTGAAAATATCTCATTATCCTTTTAAAGCCGCACTATTGGATTGACACCCTTGAAAGCTTTGCAGAGATTTGCCATGTCACAAATTCCCTGCAGGTCACACCCTCATATGTTGTGATCCCAATGACCTTGTGTCATTGGGGCTTTACAACACACTTAGCTGCTGAGGCTATATGGCGTCACCTACCTCTCACACTGGCAGTAAGGGCAGGCACCGCAGGGAATCAAACCCCATACCTCTGGGTTCCCAGGCGTGCAGTGGTTAACGCAGACGTGTTAACCGCATAACCATAATGCAGACGCACTAACCCCCACACTACTGGCACCCCAATCCCAATGACCATGCAAGTGCCAAATGTGGAAGTCCAGTTCTTTCACATGCTTGGTCAAGGCTTACTTCATGGCTCTCATACTGTTGCAAATCAACAATGTAATGACTGGAGCAAATCTGAACAGTGAACAGCTATATAGCATTCTGAATCAAAGATGTCTCAAGTTAGTGCAGACATGAAGCACAGGCTAAGTACAACATTGAGAACTAGCTAAGATTCAGCTGTTTTTGGCTGGTAAAGACACAACTGCCTCAGATAA